TTGCGAACGCATAAATCACCGATTTCAAACTTTTTGCATTTCGTAAATATTGATAGTGACCAATCTGTTTGTATTTCAAAAAATTGTAACATGTTCCAATTAAATTAAATTAAAAAGAGAATAGTAAATAACTTAGTGTGTATTGCAGTTCATGTCATAAATGCGAGAATGCTGTATGTAAATGATATGCAAATCAATATGCAAATTTATGCTAATTAGGCCGCCCACCAGCTAATTTGGATTGTGGAGAACACTGTACAGTAGTCACACAATGAGGCAGTTCATATTTGTCTCAGTGAATCATTCATTTTTGACAGACACCTGTACAAAATACTTGAACTAAAGCCAGCTAAATTTTTCTGTTATCTTGCATGTTTTATGAATATTCACATCTAAATGCAGCACTTTTTTTTGCAATGAGACATTTGTTTTTATTCTAAAATATCTCAATTACTTTCAATAAAGCTGTAAATTATGTTCCTTAAAATAATTAAACAAATAAGGCACCAATGTTTTTAGTCCCCGTTCGGATGAAGTCCGAAAACGAGGACTTATAATTTGGTCTCCGTCCGTCCGTGCGTCTGTGTGTCCGTGCGTCCGTCCGGAGTCATATCTCAGAATCCCTTGGACCGATTCCGTTCATTCTTTGCATGTGCCTAGTACTTTATGTGGGACATATGCACATGCAGTGGTTTAGCGATTCGATTCAAAATGGCCGACTGGCAGCCATCTTGTTTTTTGAAAATGTTGTATTTTGGACATGCTTTGTTAGTTTTCATTCAAACTCGGTATATAGATTATACATGTTAGGATACATGTCCATGATGATTTATTTCACAATTGGATCAAAGATGGCCGACTGGCAGCCATCTTGTTTTTTGAAAATGTTGTATTTTGGACATGTTTTGTCAGTTTTCATTCAAATTTAGTACATAGATCATACATGTTAGGATACATGTCCCCGACCGTCCGTGAGTTCCTGAGTCTGTCCGTCCGACCGTCCGTGTGTCCGTCTGTCCGTGCGTCAGTCTATCCACATCATATTTCTGATCCTGTGG